GCTCAGGGGAGACCTTCTGGCTCTCCACAACTCCCTGACAGGAGGTTGGAACCAGGTGGAGGTCAGTCTCTTCTCCCAGGGAAGAAGCAATAGAAGAAGAGGAAACAGCCTCCATTTGTGCCAGGGGAGGTTTAGGTTGGACATGAGGAAAAACATCTTCCCCAACAGGGTTGTGCTTTCAAGGGCTTTGAAACCCCTGCTTGATTTTTACCACAGAAAGGCTCTTCCACCTCTATGTACCTAACAGATCTGATGCTTTTGTTTCATTTAACAGCACTATGGTTCACTTCACCTTCACTCTCTGAGGCTGCAACAGCCGAAACATTTGGGTAAGGAGGCCAGGAGAGATTTTTGGTTTAAATGGAACAGGAGAGACTTCAAGACACTGTGTTTGAGGACACTGGGTATGGAGGAAACTGGGTATGGCGGGACACTGGGTATGGGAACACGGATTATGGGGTACACAGGGAACACTAGACATAGGGGACACAGGGTATGAGGGACACCTGGCATGGGGGACATGGGGCATATTGGATTAAGGAGACACTGGGTATGGGGGCCACTAGGCACAGAGGGCACAGATATGGGGAACACTTGTAAACTGGGGTGGTTGTGGCCAGCAGGTTTCTCTCTGGGACAGGAAGAGCCTTTCTGTGGCTGCTGTGCAGAGCAGTGCTCCCTGGCAGCTGGGGCTGTCACAGCAGTGACAGGGACAGTCTGGTGAGTCCATACAGCATTGCACCTTGCTTCAGCAAGTGTGTTATTAGGAATGGAGTAGCAAGAGGGATGCCTGTAGCCCACAAGCCACCTTTGGGCACGGCAGAGTCACTGCAGTGGAGGGTAATGGAGTAAGTAGGAAAAGCAGTGGTGGGAAACAGCTTTTTTCACCCAAAGCTGATGGAGTTAAACACAGTCATTTGCTGTATGGTATGAGCTGGGGGCTCTGGCTGTGTCTCCAAACATCTTCTGCACTGGTAGTATTTTTTTTTTCCTATAGCAAGCATCACACCCCTTCAATACTCCCACTATTGGCAGGGATAGAGTGGGGGGAACAGTTTCCTAGGAAAACTTCAGCTTTTTTCCCCACAGGTTTTGGCCCTGCTGTGCCAGAGGGTGTTATTGCAGCCCTGGGGACTGACTGGCTCAAGCTCAGGCAGTTCCCAGGCTCCCTGCCTGACCCACCAGTCCTGGCCCTGAGCTTTTGCCCCTGGGATAACCTCATGGCCCAGTCACTGTGGCTTGCCCAGCTGTGTCCCATTGGAGCTTCATGGTTTCCACTCTCCTCTCCTGATTGCTGGGCAGGTTATAACAGCAACCCCTACCAGCTGCTGCTCTTGCTTGTATGCTCCACTTCGCAGTCTGTTTGGGAGATGCCCAGCTCCACCTCTATGGGAGATTTAATATTGCTAGAGCTCTCTGTTCTGTGCCCCTTTAGTGAGCCACAAGCCACTTCTGGATTTTTCATGGGGTCTGGGGAGTCACTGAGGATGCTGAGGGGACTGGAGTATCTCTGTGATGAGTAAAGGCTGAGAGCCCTGGGGCTGCTGAGCCTGAAGAAGAGAAGACTGAGAGGGGATGTGATCCTTGCTGATCAATAGCTAAAGGACAGGAGGTCAGAGGGATGTGGCCAGACTCTTCAGTGGTGCCCAGCAGCAGGACAAGAGGCAACAAGCACCAACTGGAACCTAGGAGGTTCCACCTGAACAGGAGGAAAAATTCTTTCTGGTGGGGGTGCTTGAGCCTGGAGCAGGCTGCCCAGAGAGGCTGAGGAGTCTCCTTCTCTGGAGAGATTCAAATCTGACTGGACATGATCCTGGGCACCCTGCTCTGGGTGACCCTGCTGGAGCAGGGGGGTTGGATGAGATGATCTTCAGAGGTCCAACCTCTGTGGGATTAGAATGGGGATTCTGTGGGCCTCAGCAGTTAGAAAACACAATGCTTTCTTTGCAAGCTGCCTAGGAAGGAGAGAGCAGTAGTTGATGAGATCTGCCTCAGAGCTTTAGACCTACCCCTCTGCCAGCTCCCAGGGAGAGCTGTTCCCTACCCACAGTCTATCCTCTCACACACATTCCCTTCCCTCTTGGGCACGCTTTCTCCTGTTAGTTTTGTCTCTGCAGAAAGCTGTAATGGACAGGCAGATAATGTTTTATCAACTGGTTTGGTGAGTGGTGTCCATATGCTCTCCTGAGGGCTGTACAACATGTCCTGGAATAGACAGGGGAAAAGAAAATAGCAAAAATTGCCTGTGATGGCAAGCCTGCCTGGAGGCCAGGAGAGGAGATACCCCAGAGCAGAGAGGTGAGGGGCTGCCATGGTCCAGCCTTGGTCCATCACCTGCTGACACGAAGGTCCAACGACCTGGGGTGCAGGGTGCTGCTGCAGAGTGGTTTTGGTCTGACATCTCCACCGGGTTTGGCTGCAGCCACTGGAGGTCACTGCTGATCTGCAGCTCCGCAGACAAAGTCACCTTTGAAGAGGTGGGTAGGAGCCCTGCTCCCAGATGTTGGCTCTGGGCTGCTCTGCCTCTAACCCTCAGCAAAATCACTGGGAGCTGAGTGGATGCTGTCATGTGGGACCTCTGCTAGGAATAAGGTCTGGCACCACAACCCTCCCTGATTAAACCTGTCCCCTGCTTCTGGATGGAATGCCCCTTTGGGGACCCATCACTTCCAGTTGCAGAGCTCAGTGTAGGACCTTCTGGGAGGGATCCTTGGGGAACATCCTACAGCTCCTGAGCAGAGAGTACTGCCAAATGTGAAGTGCAAAGCATTTACTTCAGCAGCTAATTCTTCCATTGTTCTTGTCAAACAGTCTGTAATGAAGTTAGCTAGTAGGAATAATGTACCTTTGAAGGAGGAGGCTCTTATTTGTTTCTCCTTTTTGTGGCCAAGACCCTTTCTGTCCCCTCTGACTGAGGTGGCTCGATGTCCCACGTGGTGCTGCGGTCCAGATCTGTGGGTGCAATATAGTCAGCACTGAGGATTTGGGGCTGAAAGATCCTTTCGAGGAGTATTTGAAACCATGGCCAAAGAAACGGGTAATTTCACAGGAAGGCCCATGTCCTTGCATTGTCTTTCACTGGTTTTTCACTGGAAAAAGAAGAATCTCCAGAAGGGACTTTAGGGTTTGCTGGCT